AGTCTCTAGTGCGGTTGAAATCGCAAACACAATAAAAAACACTTCTTTCGTAAAAGACAGGAAATAAACCGTAGTTTCCCGAACTACGTGAGCTCTGATCTCTCATGCCTGTTGAGAGTACGTAGGCATAGGATGTGATGTCCTAGCGAGCAACCTTTCCCCCGTAATCCTTCGTAGGCCGAACTACGTTGACTCTGATTTCTCATTCTCTGATGAGAATACGTAGGCATAAAGTGCGACGCTTTGCCGAGTCATTTTTCTTTTCTTTTTCAGCCAGCCTTGATAGGTAGATAGAATAAAACCAACCAGTCCAAGTAAACAAGCAAGCGAGGATCCCGTCGAGTACGACGGACGTGAGGGGTGCTAATACCTTCCCTTTGCGTAACCGACTCCCGAACCCAGACAATGGTTGCGACGACCTTGTCTTACCCTTTTTCGTCAGGTTTTTCCGATCGTTTCCTTTCCCGCTCTGAGGGATAAATAACGAAAGGTGGCGACTCTTCTGTCATGCCGGCACCTTATTTTCGCGCAAGCGACAGAATTGAGATACCTATAATTAACCTTACTTTGTAAAAAATGTATATATAAGAGATGAAGAACTCTAACCCTACAAACCCTATGGTTTGTTGTTGATTCTACCACCTCCAAACCCTTGGTCAAAGATTGATCAAGTTACCAACAATTTCGCTTCAATTCACCAATTCTTGCTACTTCCTTGCAAGGTACCCCTTGCCCCAAGGATTTCACACGGTCGAATTAATCTCAAGCACACACTTGTTGAACCCAAGATTTACCAATACGACCCACCGTTTCATGCTACTCTCTTACAAGGCATCCCTTGTGCCAAGGATTTCACTCGATCGGATTCGAATTACGTAATCTTGTCCAAAAACTTCAAATCTTCAATGATATTGAAGGAAAATCCCAGCTCAGTTTTCTTATTTGAAATCCTCAAAGTTCTCAACCCAATATTCTCGGTACAACAACCTAATTGGACATTATCAACCCTAATATAGATGGTCACCCAATAAAAAATGATTATGTGTAGTTTGATTGTATATGTGCATAGAAGAGAGCTTGAAGATGACGAGAATGCTTTGAAATCATAATTTTGTGTATGTTTTACTGACTAGAAAACTTACTAGTAATGATGCATGTATCAATATAAATGTATATGCAAGATATAAAGCAAAGATCATGCAAAAGGAAGTGAAAAGAAAAAATAATCAAGATTTAACTTCTATAGGTCGACCTATGAAAGTATATGTATCGACCTATAAAGGTCTCAGGTTGGCCTATTAGAGGCGACACATATGTAGTGGCTACAAGCATTAATATTGAGGCATGGGTGCCAACCTATACTGAAGCAAAAGCTTCTATAGGTCGACCTAAACACGTATGTGTCGACCTATGTTGTAATTGTCACACTAGAAACTTAATTTTTGATGCAGTAGCTTAACTTTTGATGTATGGATTCTTTCAAGTCATTTCCAAAATATGTTTGCATGCATTCTAATGCTAAAATGCACAATGCACACCTAGAATTGTTGATACCGTTCAATGTACAAAAACGCTAAAGTTTCTTCTAATTTTGACATCATTCAAAACATAACTAAACGGAAAGATGCACTCACATACTGCCCCTTTTTGGTGATGACAAAACTTGCAATTTGAGACGATGCGTTTCTTGATTCATGAAAATCTCCCCCTGAATGTATGCATCATAGCTTCATATTCTTCTCCCCCTTTGAAAACATCAAAAAAATACAAGCATGCTATTAGTAGTATCACATAGATACATGTTACAATATACGATACAAAGGTAATTTGCAAAGATAAGAGGTGCATTCACATACATTCATCATATATGGAAACACAATATTAATAAACACAACAATATTCAAACTAGCTATCGAAGTCAACACACATAGTACAACCATTCAAGCATGTCAGCAATATTATTCATACACAAACAAAAGCAAAAAAACCAAACAAAAGGAAAAACTTGCATGAGGACTCAAAGGAAAATGCACTCCAATACTCAAAATAAAGAAACACCATAAAACTCAAGATACAATGACATAACAACACTTCATCATGAAACTTCACCATCTTCCACAATCCCTAGGAACATGTCTTTCTCCCCTATACCAGCCTTGTCCCTCATTCCAATAGTGAGAAATATTGTTTACACTTCTCCGCATACCTCTCTTCTTGCTTCATTTGCATATTCTGAAGCATTTTTATGATAGAGGAGGTATCAGTAGAACTATTACCAAAGCCATCACTATGATCAATTACATGATAAACATATTTCATAGTAGCATCTCCCTCATCAACATCATGAGGAGAATCCATAGGTTGTTCACCATCCATGTGATCTTCCTATGCATCATCACCAAATTCAGCAAAATCATCAAACTTATAAATCTTTCTGCCATGCTTACCTAAACGAAGATGATATCCTGACGTTTGATATCCCAAAAGTAGTTCATGTTTGTTAGAGTACGTTGAGAATGTTAGACAATAGGATTCGATCTAGAGGGGGGTGAATAGGTCACAAATTTAAAACAAAACTTTTGGCAAAAATATATTTTCAAAATTTTTATGGCACAACGGAAACAACCCGAATTGAATCGTCTAATTGAACCTACTATTGAAAAGCTCGGATATGTATAATGTAAACCTATGGAATGGTAATGAACACAAATTGTTCAACAACGATTAACTCACGAATTAGTAAAATGTAAAGCTATTCGTAATTCTTATATCTAATGAACACAAAGTAATAAAAATGCTCAAAAGAAATTTATCAAACACTCTATGTGAGATCGATAATGTTTGGAAATTCAATTTGTTTTATTGATGTTAAAACCAATCACAATAAAAGTGATTATGATTATATCAACAACAACACTTTGAAATATAGTTAAAAAAAATTCCAATCGAATTAATCAAAACAACAACAAAATCGATAATTTGCAAGAACAACAATTCAAGAGATAAATCGATAGAGAGAGAGAGACACACACAAAGATTTGTTTATTCAGTTCCCCAATCGACCTCGCTATGGGTATGTTTACCCTCAATCCGAAATCAAATTGAGATACTTGCAATTAACCTTATCTTTGCAAAAATGTTTATACAAGAGGTGAAGAACTTTAACCCCACAAACCCTATGGTTTGTTGTTGATTCAACCACCTCTAAACCCTTGACCAAAGCTTGATCAATTCACTAACAATGCTGCTACAATGCGCTTGTTCTTGACTACTTGCTTGCAAGACTTTCTTGTCTTTAAGATTTTCACTTGGTCAAATTATCCCTAACACACACTTGTTGAACCCAAGGTTCCCGAACACAATTCACCGTCTCGCCCTACTCCCTTGCAAGGAAACCACCTTGTCCCAAGGCCTTCACTCGGTCAAACCCGTGTTAACGTGATCTTATCCAAAACCTTCAAATCCCAAAGATCTTGAAGGGAAATACCACCTTGGTTTTCTTATTTGAAACACAAAAAGATCCCAACCCAATATTCTTGGTTAGACCAACCTAATTGGATCTTATCAACCCTAATCTAGATGGTCATTGTGGACGCGGGAATCGGTCCCCTTCTTTCAAAGTGAGGTCGCCCTTTTATATCTACATGTGAACTTTAAATTTATTCCAGGAGAGGGAAGGGGAAAAAATCTAAATAAACATGTGGGTGTGTGTAATGAAATGTAATGCACTAAGAGATTTGGGAATCTGGATTGGTTATACTCACTACTAGAAATGCTGTATTTAGCCTCGGCCACTTTCCGAGGCTATAAGGCAAAAGACCGCCGCTACTAGCCAATTAGCCTCGGCGTAGCGTCGGTGTCGGGGATAGGCTAAAACGATCGAAGCTAACTTTTAGCCTCGGCAAGAAGAGCCGTGGCTAAATGTAGCCTCGGTCTAGCCGTGTCTAATTTAGCCTCGGTTTAGCCGTGTCTACTTTAGCATCGGTGAAGCCGTGTCAAAAAACAAAAAATAGCCTGGGCCTGCCGAGGCTAAAGTCAAACTCCATAAGCTCACATAATATTTAGCCTTGGTCCTGGTCGAGGCTAAAGGAACATTTTGCCTCGACTTTTTTGAGGCTAAGTTCAAACTTTATAAGTCACCAAAATATTTAGCTTTGGCCTAACCGAGGCTAAAGTCAAATTGTAAAAGTCAACAAATTATGCCTGCTTTCCAACCAAAGACAGACTATTTAGATTTGGAGTGGCCAGTGATGCAAACCAAACATTTGTCAGGATATGCACCATACTGTCATTATTATACAAATATATGTCAAATGTATTTGTGTACCTTGTTCATGACTGCAACAATTCCAGGATATTTAGCACATGCTCAGAGAGCGGGAGCAATAAAACAATTAGCTAATCCGTGCAAGAAACAACTCGACACATCTCTACCATTGCAATGTATCTCCTGTAAAAGATGTTTTAAAAAATCAAAGTGAATGCTATGAAAAGAGAAGATGTGAGGAATTCAGGGAACAACATAATACATTTAATAGCTAATATACAAAATAGAAGGTCACTCTGCTCTAAAATTGAAGCCTTTAAACAAAGGAAATGACCATTAATTATAGAGTGTACTTGCTACAGCTAAGATCGTTGAGATGGATGAACTAACAACCAAATCCTAGCATCCAATTCAAACTAAAATTCATCTATTAATTCTCCATGTGGAAACAGAGAACTTCCCAAAATTACAGAGTGTACTTGCTACAGGTTTTTCTTAAGAATGGAGATTCTGAAGACTATATAGTAGATAGATCCAATCATTTGAATCAGACTATGTTATTTAGAATGGAGATGATGTCTTTGTTTATATGAATGAGGTTAGATGGAGAATTGATTTGCAATTGAAAGGTTGGTAAATGGAATTTATGCTACTGTTAGTAAAAGGTCAACAATTTGAAATATGAGGATGTGTTAGGGATATGTTGTTAATTGCTAGCTGCTAACTTGAAATGTTATTGAATTTGGATTAGCTCACTTAGCCCAGTTGCTGTGACATAATAGGCTAGTTTGAATGCCTTGAATATGAGAATATTTGCATTACTACAAATCCGTGTAGTTGTTTGGTTTGTCTGCAAAAACAATCCGGAAATGAAGCTTGATTAGCTGCTTGTGATTTATGAGTTCAACATTTATTCTTTGTTAATCAAAACTCACTCATGGTTCCATTAATTTCATTCGTTAATCAGTCACGAAATTCGTCAATAAGAATTTAAGAATGAATGAAACGGCGATAGTACAAATGTCTGTCAACCACGATTATACTGAAGATCTAAACGGAAACTTACCTCAATGATGACATGCATATCAAATTCTTCAGGTTTAAGTTCGACTCCTTCGTAGAAATCCGTGTGTTGGCAATCATTCAGATACATTGTGACATAAACCTGTAACACAATCATATCTTGCAAAGTATCAGAAGGTGACCTCCACAATCTCTTTGCTGAAGAAGCATCTACGTCATAATCACCAACCTAAATATTTGTAGAAAAGTGTTAAAAATGACTATACAGGTAGATTGTATAAGTAATAAGTAAAGATAGTAGTTTCAATGTAACACATTTTCATATACTAAAATAAATATCTTTAAAAGAATCTATGAAATGAAGGCAGCTGAAAAATTGAAGGCAACTGATATGCACCTCTTCTTTTAGACTGGATGACAGCATTGAAACACCTGATCCACAAGAATAAAAGGCATTAGTTGAATATGATACATACTCTAATTAGTGTAGCAGAAAAGTTAAATATCAATGCACTAGAGCAATGAAAGTAATTTCAGAAAAGGCATGCAATTTATGAACCTGTTGCATGAACACTCCATTATGCAACTGGCCAAATTGATGATACTTTTTCCGCAATACCTGGAAAATGCCGAAACAAATCAGTTTGGTACCATCTCTTAATATGTAAAGCAAAAGTCAAACAGTAATCAATCGTTAAAATAGATATGGAAACAAAATTTACAATATACAATGGCAGAGAATAAACTACCCTACTCAAATGAAAAAAGCAGTAAAATAAAGCGGCAGAAGTTAATTATCAATATTTTCCTAAAATCACATTCCCCCTTTGAATGGTATTGGCATAAATGATATATGAAGTCAAGTCAAATGAGTCATTAAATGATATATAACTCCAACAGTTTCATCTTTCTGGGATTAATAAGCTGTCAATTTTAGATAAATTTAATGGCAAAAATGTGATATTGGAGGACTATTTATGATATATTATAGTATATCATTGGAATATCAATTTGATGCTGTGTATTGTGGATGACCAATGTGATGGCATGTATTTCTTTAGAAGACCAAAACGTACAACCATCCTGCAACTTAGAATATGTGAAACAAATACTAGATGCTCCCACTCTATACCACCTTTATTAAGAAAACATAAATCACAAAATGGACTAAACAATTGAGTCTATTTATTTAAGCATAAGGAATAAAAATAGTGATTTCTTGACCGAGCCTTTCTTAGAGATTTTTTCAGAACCTGCTACTTTTAGCTTCTAAAAACAATACTTAGACTAATTTAGAGTTCATATCGTGAAACCCGCATAGATGTTAAACTTTATCGAACTGTGTGAGTTTTCATCAAAAAATTTACATAACTATTGCAAAATTCTTCTACACAATTCTCTCTGAGGTAGGGTATGGCCAGATTTGGTGTCATGAGAATTCTTGAGCCAGTTGGAGATCTTGACAGATTAGAACATCAGTGGACACTGTTGGTTTGATGTTGGGCCTGCTGCCCAGGTCTGTTGTAGAGCTTTATTCCACATAGGTGTGGTTTGCTTCTAAGTAGGTTTGAGGCCAATGTTTATGTCTGCTTTTGGAGTTTTAGATCTGTCAAGCATGGTGATGCTAGGGGTGGTTAGCTCTTCATGTTGGTCTGAATCCCTTATAGAATTGGCATTGTAATATCAAATTCAGGATTTTGTTTAGGCCTAGATTTAGTTGGTTCAAGTTTAGGCCTAGATTTAGTTCATCATCTATGGAATTATCATTTATACTCAATTCTATACTTCTATAATTATACTCAATTGTTTATAACCCTAAGGTCCAATTCTAAATGTGTTAAAGGTTAGATGGTTATTGGTGTTAAGGAATTAAAATGGTTGTTGTGCATTAGATGTAAGTTGTGATTCAACTAGTGCTTGGTGATGTTAGTATTGTTTGGTTTAAAAAGAAATTAGCTTGCTGTTATGTTGTCAGAGTTGTTTGTTATGATATGATATTACTCATCTAGGTTGACCAATCTCCCAACAAACTTGGACAGTAAGCAAAGTAAAGAGCCAAGCATTCTTCACTATGTCATCAATGTTTGAAACTTAGTCTTGTCATGAATTCAACTAAACACACATGACACCACCCTTTCAACAGACCACATCAGCAATGAACATACAAAGAAATCTACTAAGTCCCTACCTAGACTGCCTAAAACCTGTCATCATGGATTAGCAAACCATGATGCACAATGTGCCCTCCAAGTATGGAACACTTGATGACAATATTCAATGCACAAAAATCCATGACGATGAGAGTTGGTCATTACAATGCCAATTACTAAACACATATGGTTTTAAAGATAGAGCTCAATGGAACTAGAAGTTGACAAACCTTAAAGCAAATGTTGACATAATTCTTGGTGTTTCAATCAACATTCATTGATGAATTACAACTATCATAGCTTTAACAGCAAGTTGTAAAAACAAGATGAAAGCTCCAGTCAAGCAAAAATGTTTTGAAAGTTAACAAACTCATGAGTAAAATGCTTAGATGTTATGCAAAATTAGGAAAGGGAGGTAATAATGTAAATTGTGGAATCGCAACACTAATCGTAAAATTATACAAAATTCTAAAACTCATAAATAAGCACACACACACACACACAAAGAAAACCTTAAATCACTTGAAATACTTCAAACTCATAAGTAAACTAATCAATCAGCTTCAAAATGCAAAGAATAATAAGCAACTAAAGAAATGAGCTTCAAAATGCAAAACAAAAGCAACTAAATAAATGAAGAGGCCATACAATAAGATTTTTATACAAATGCATGTAATTCAACTATGAGTCGATGGAAAATTAACATAATCCAAATATTAACATTTGACCATCAGTTGGTAAGGAAAGTTACCTGCTCCCTTGAGAAGTTGCCAACATGGCCTCCCTCACTAAGTGTCCTAACACCCACAATCATAGATCCTCTTGAATCAGAACTCTCAGCTGCTCTTCCGCCACTAACAATCAGCCGCATCACGCCGCTTTGTGTTTCACTTTTAGATATCTGTTGACAATAAAATACATTAACAAATACAGAGAAACCAACCAATTACATCCTCCTTAAGCAGCGTAAGTTCTGAGTTCTACATTCCAATCTCAACAAATTTCATAATATTGCTTTTTGAAATCAGATCGCAATATGAATGGAAGTACAAACATAATAGAAATTAAGTAAATTAAAATTTTCATCTCCATAAATTCCATAATGGTAGAAAAGAACAAAATGAAGCAGAAGCATAGTACTAGAATTAGGAATGTTTGAAACTGAGTCGCCATCTCTAAAACGTTAAATGGAGAACAAAAGACACCTTGGAGCAGTGAATGCAGTGAAATGACTGAGCAGGGAAAATAAGGTACAACAATCATGAAAACCTTAATATAAACACAACAAACCTTATAGTTGACGGGAATTCCATTTGCAAGGCGGAGGCAGGTGATTCCAGTTTCCTCATCATGAAGCTTCTTAGCTTCTATTTCAGGACTGACTGGAATAAAGGTTGGCTTACGCTGATTTTTTAACTCTTGTAGTGTTGATGACTGTACAAGTTCTTTTGGAACCTCAAGCTGCATATAAGCAATTAGCTGAGAAGCAACCAAGATGCACCCAAATCATAAATAAAACTAGCTCTCACGAATAGAATTAAAGCACTTGTACATAATGAAACAAGTTTAATTAGTGTAGTAGATTCACATCATTTCATATCTTCAAATTTGACAAATGAAACAACACAGATTTATATCAGACAAAGTGGACGTGCAAATAAAGCATACCAAAATCAAGAGCTCCGGCATGAACACAAGATTTAGTGACTTCACGGCAGAAATTGCAATTAAAATTGTCATGTATGTGAAGGTTTGACAACCTCTGCTCACCAAATAGATTAAATTCATCACCATAGCAAAGGTAGCGAATCAATAAACCATTAATTGAAAATAAAGAGGTGAGAGGGGAAGAGAATAGAAACTAACAAATCTGCGGAGGTTCTGCAAAATGTCAAAGAGAAGACTAATATCGTGATGGTGTTTGCAATTATCAACCATTGACCACAACCAAGCATTTGGAGGCATGGATCTTTTAACATTTACAGAATGAAGCATTTTATCATAAATATCCTTCACAGCTTCTACATTTAAAATTCAACAATACAAATCAGTAAACATCACAAAAATGAATAGACTTTTGTGATCTTTGCTTCTAGTACTTCAGGGTTTTTCTCATATAACTCTAGAACTTCTCTCCATTGGCCTAGCATGGCATGATTGAGTAGACTTTCAAACTCAATCTCAGCCATTTTGTGAGCTAGCTAAACAAGCTTTGTATATTACTGATTTTCTTATAAGCACAACATCAGTAGACAACATCTCTAAAACCTAACACAGCACTAATTTTGTTTAATCACAAACAATACCATTAGAATGAAGTTGAAACATTTAAATAAATCAAATTAAATGGTTCCTAGCAAAATGCTAAGGAGAAAATAGGAGAGTACCTGGCCATGGGAAAGAGCAGTGGCGATGGAGAGAGCGATGCTAGGTTTCTCTGCGACCTGAAATGAAAAGCACAAAAAGTAGTTGGGAACAAGGTTAAGAAAACAACGTACATCGAAATTGGAGAGTTGATACCATGAGAACTTTGGGAAGGGCCATGTTTGTGTTGAACTACCGGTTTCTGCTTCTGCGATTGCGAATGGGTGCCGAGTGTTTGTGAAAAATACCCACCCAGTTTTCAAATTCAATTCGCGAGGGGGTGTGTTGAAATGTTGAATTCTAAATATGAACATCTGATATCAAGGTTTTTTTCTTCTGAAAATGTTGAAATTTTTGTTAGTAATCAAGGTTTTTTTTTCTTCTTCTGTATTTGGTTTAATTTTAGGGTTCTCTGAAAGGAATTAAGAGGGAAACATGAAAAACAAGTGGGAAATATTTAGCCTCGACTCATCCGTGTCTATCAGATAAAATAAAAAAAATAAAAAACGTTAGCCTCGGCTGAACCGTGTCTATCAGATAAAATAAATATTTTGAAAAATATTAAAAACGTTAGCCTCGGCTCATCCGTGTCTAATATTTAAAAAAAATAGAAAAACTTTAAAATGGAGTTTTTTTGCGTTTAAGTAGCCTCGATAACGTCAAGGCTAGTTAGCCTCGGTGTCTGTGGCCGAGGCTAAGTTTGCAGCTTAAAATAGTTAGCCTCAGATTGACCGTGTCTAATATTTAAAAAGAATAATTCAAAAATTAAAAAAAATCTAGCCTCGGCCTAGCCGTGTCTAATGAATTAAATAAAAGAATTGTAAAAGAAAAACTTTAAAATGGTTTTTTTTGCGTTTGAGTAGCCTCGGTTTTGTCGAGGCTAGTTAGCCTCGGTGTCAGTGGCCGAGGC